CACGGTATTGGAGATTATCGGACGTCACTTCCTTCCATGAGGTTGGGGATATTCAAAGTAGAGGCGTTGAGGAACAGCTGTCAGTGTTGGCCAAAGAAATTGTCCATGGTGAGACCGATCATAAACGGTTCTCTTCTGTAAATGCAAACGCTATTTTGAATAAACTACCCATGAGTGTGAAAAATCTGCAAGATTATCCTTTAGTTAAGAGAACTATTATTCAATTTTTGCATTCAGAAAAGCTCCCACAAATTTTGGGTGCTGAATCCACTGATAAACTCTACCATAGCAATGGTGTTTGTAGTCTCTGAACACCATGGCCTGACTAACCATGGAAAAATCCGTTGGCCAACAGCGACAGCTGTTCCTCAACGCCTCTACTTTGAATATCCCCAACTTCATGGAAGGGAGTGACGTCCGATAATCTCCGATACCGTACAAACCCCTCCCCCCACCTTTCTTGACGGTCGAATGTTGCCGCAAGCAGTTTTTTCTCCTGAGCCTTCCAAACCATAAAAACCACCATCAACTATATTTTTATTCCTTTACCTCAGGAGTTTTTTTCACTGCTGGTCGGATTTGTGTTTAATCGCTTCACTTGACAATGTCTGTAAACTGGCATTAAATAAAATCATCATTATCATTATTCAGAGACCACAAATACCATCGCTACGGTAGAGCCGATCAGTGGATTCTTAACTAAAGAATAATTTTGCAGCTTTTTCACATTCATGGGTAGTTTATTTCAAATAACAATTGCATTTACAGAAAAGAACCGACGATATAGTACAGTTCATGCTAGAGGAAGAAATAAAAGACCTCACGGTGACTGTTACGTCGTGGGTGGACACGATGTTTTAAAGAGGTGAGTGGGTTAAGTGTGTGATTGTATAAGAGTTTAAATAGCAAAAATAGTCCCTTTTGTAATCTACGGAACCGCAAAGGATCAAGGCCCGTAAGCCGGCAACGTTCTTGGTGAGACAAATGTCGGTGTTCCAGGGTTAAAACTCTCTTGGTACAAAAGTGTTTAACGGATTCTATTTTCTTCCGCTCTGTAGCACGCATGAGGCTAAATAAAAACGAACCGTATTCCAGACGAGGTCTACCGTACATGTTTTGAAGACGCATTCTAATGCCCCTAGTTCTAAAGTTTCGGAGGATAAACCTGATCGTTCTACGGGCTTTAGAGACTATCAAAGCACAGTGCTCCGAGAGATTGAGACTTTTGGAGTATGATATGCCGGCTTATATCGATATGCAACTTTAAGCTCATCGGCATACATGCAAGGCTTACCATTCTGGAATAAATCGGGTACATCATTAAAGAAAAGGTAAAATAAAAGCGGGCCGAATACACTACCTGGATGAATCCCCTCCTAACATGTGTAGGGTTAGAGATAGTTTTGGAAATCCTAACGCGTTGTGTACGAGTGCCCAGATAAGAGGATATAAAATTTGAAAGTTTGCCCCCTATTCCGAAAGAGGACAGTTTCAAGAGAAGAAGAGCATGGTCAACATGTTCAAAAGCCTTAGTGAAATCAAAATGGACTGTGTAAAGTGCAAAGTCATTGTCCTTAGATTGGAGAACCTAATCAAAGATAGAGAGCTGACAGGTGCCACAAGACCGAGCTTTGAGGAATCCGTGCTGAGCAGCATTTAATGGGATATTCTCCTCTACGTTATACGTGATCTTTTCTTTGATCATTGTCTCTAAGATTTTTGAAACTACCGTGAGGGTGCTTATTGACCGAAAGTATTCAAGTGACGCAGACTGGCCATGACTGGGGATAGGCAATATGTGTGTGTGAGTTTCACTTTTAAGAGCAAAATTAATCATGTTGCACAGGAGGGACAGGAAAATTTCTTTTGCATCCGCTTTTAAAATGCCTATGTCTCACTTGCTAAAACAATATCCGGGCAATGTACGAACGTCAGAGTCCGAAGAAAAGGCAGCTTATTTAGCAAGGATCCGGCAGTAAGGACAAAAATTTTATTGGGTAAGACTGTTTGTTTCTGAGGGAATTGAGTTACGTCGTCCAGTGATTTGCTGCCCACGACACATTTGGCCTGGATGCATCATCCCGGTTCGACAAAAATCTTGTGACGTCAAAAGATCCTGATGCAGATAATAGAGGAAGATTTGGAAGAGGAATTGGTTGGCAGGAAAACTGATTACTATAGTGAGCTGGCTGATTTTCTAGTGGAAACCCAAAGGCAGGATATTGTAACTTATTCCTGCCGCGGTTAAACTAAGGACCATGGGAGTCAACCGACCCAGTATGAACATTTGTATGTGGATTACATTGGTAAAACGGACGATGAGGTAACGTGTTGAGGAGTGAGGACTCACTGCTTGGATTGGGCCGAAAATTCTATGCAAAAACGGGAATGTTGGCATTAAACGTTGCGTTATGAGGTACGGGGGTAGTTGAAAACACATTGTATTTGGGGTCGTGGAGTGTGAGGTATTGGCATGCGATTTCTTAAATGAATTAGGTTTACCCAGTGTACGAGTAGTTAACATAGCACCCCGAATCTTCTTTTAGTTGAGCAATTGCTTTGTTTTACTAGGGGTTGCCGGTGGGGTCGAAAGGCGTGTTTGTATACAAGGCGTACTGTTGCACCTAGAGGTCTCAGCATCACGAGTAATCAAGTGTCCTACGGAATTCACTATGTCATGAAATGATGAGGCCGCAGATGATGTCTAACAAGACGTATCCGACATGGCAAAAGGGGCCGTTATATCGGTGTTGGTTTTCGAGATTTTCAAGTTGCTAGTCTTTCCTGCATAGGTGTGCGATCTCGGGAAAATACGCAACGCCATTTACGGCAGAATTATCTAGTTATGCCCTTCCTCGACAAAATGGAGTTAACTCCTATCAAGGGAGAAGAGAGTTACAAGTATGAGCGCATTACGGCTAAGTGAATGCAATCGTTTAGCCTACGCGACACTGAGACCCAAGCCACAATTTTGCAGAAACAAATGCGCGACATTAATAGCAGAGATGTGGTTCGGAATATTCTGCACTATAAAATCATGCTTACATTTTATACTCTCCTCAGTTACGGATCTTATTGCCCAAATTACTTTAAACGCCTGTTCAATAACTTTGTTGGAAGTATTGCTTGTTTTGTCATATATCAACTGATCTAGTATTTCGTTAGTCATATCCAGAGACGGTTGCGAGCACACGCTAGCACCCGCTATGTCTTCAGCCACGATTCTGGCACTCAGAGATGACGAGGAGGCCGCGAGCCCTCGTCTTTCATGAAGTGGTCTTAGGCGCATTGCAAGGTAATAGACTGCAAATTCTACTGATAATTTGCTACAGTAATCCATCCCATTGTGCTGCAATAGTCTGTCTGTGCATTCTCAACATCGTCAGAAGCTAAAGCGGGGTATTGTATAACTAAATTGCCTGAACTAAGAGATCCCCCTGGAAGTTATCTATGGATTCTAGACTGATTGTATAAAAAATCTTGCTTGAACAGTCAGTTTACGTTGTATGGGACGGTACCTTAATCAAAGTGCGACTAAACTCATAGCTCCGATTGGGGTTCCTAGCTTATGTGGCTAAAACGTCGGTTGTACTCAAGTTATCAAAGGAATTGATCAAATTTATGAAAACTATATCGCGGCGATAGCCATCTAACCATATAAAAAAGGCACAGTATAAAACAAAAAGAAGGTATGTTAAATGTGCAATGGTCTCATCTGAATTGGGAAGCGTTTCGCCGCATGTGTTAGATTACTGGTCGGAAGTGAAGGTCCAAGGCAACTGCAGGATAGGGACCTGCGAATTCTTACTTTGTTTGTGAGAGAGGGAGGCAATCTGTAAAACGGTAAGCGTGGAGGCAGAGGCCAACAATTGAGAATAGAAGGGGCACCGTCATCTTCACCGACACTCCATCACATTATCCGCATCCTGTGTCCGCGCCTAAGTAATGTCCACCACTTCACTTAAACAACACATTTAATCTTGTGGTCTGTCGCAAAGGAACTGTAGCGGCCGAGGACGTCAAGGGTAGCACACACAACGTAACGCAATACCGAGTAAGAGATCCTGGCTAGTGTTGATCTGAATACGATTGTTAGCAGTTCACGATACTCATCCATACATAAAAGCAGAAGAAACGATCAGTGGACGAGAAAATATAATGAACAGAAAAGGGAATTGAAAAGATGCATAATGACAGTTAAAAGTACAAACGGGATGAGTTACAACAGTCGAGTGACCTGTCTCGGTGGAGCGGCGAGGCCAGCATGCCAGCTGGAAAACCGGTGGGGAACGCAGCGCTGGGAGCAACTGCAGGGAAGGGCCGAGGGGGTTGGTGATGTAGCGAGGGGAGCGGTACGAGCGTTACGTCACGGTACAGAGCGGTGGAAGGGATCGGCGGAAGAGAGAGGAAGGGACACCGGCCATCTTCACCAACATGCGGCTACACCATCTTCATCCTAGGTCCGCGCGCTAAAAGTGTCACGGCATTCAAACAACCCTACTCAGATCAGGGGGCGTTTTAGTACAGCCCGACGGTCAGATGAGCAAAAGATTGAATAAGCCAGAAAGAAGCCAATCGGCGTCAGCGCCCAGAGAGACGAAAGGAAGCGCAATAGCCAATTAAAAATTCGGATATCCCGCATCTGGTGCGGTAGCGCAAATTACGAAGCTTTAATCTCCTCAAGGTTAGTGTTGCGCTCCCACACTCATAAACGTCGCATTTACTTCAAAAATACTGCTTTTAAGAACACAATTCTTACCATTGTAAGTCACACTAAATCGGACTGTGCTGTGCGAG